CAACAAATTATACACTTTGTTTCATCTCAATGATTGCAATCACATCAACTCAACAGTTATCCTGCCTCCTCCCTGTGGTTCCTACTTGCACTCCAACCACCTTCCCATCTCTTCTCAATTTTATCCTTAGTTATTCCTTAGATAACCTTTTGATTTTGAATCATCACCATCCCATGGAGAGCATACCTTACTACTGTTGTTGTCGCCACACTTAACCTATCTACTGTTTGGCTAAAAATTGGACCACCAGGGTGTGTTCCTTTCCAGATCTGAAGGGTAGTACAGGGCCATAGTCTCAGGATCCTCCAGTCTCTTTCTGACAAGTAAGCTCAGTTTTTCGTTTTTGTTTTTTTCTTTTAAATAATTTTGAGTTTTGTTCCACATTTTTTTGCTGCTATGTCAAAGATTTTGTAATGTGATCCAGAAAAGGCATGTGTTTAAAAGCTTTTAAAAATACATAAAGACTGATAAAGCATATATAGTGAAATGTTATGTAGATCTCTAGGTGGCAGTTTTATGGGGGGTATTGTACAATTCTTCTAACTTTTCTATATATTTATAATTTTTCATAATGCTGGGGGCAAAAAAAAAATTAAATGTGAAAATATAAAGAGGGATAATTCATTACCATGACTTGCAATACTGAAACATCCTATGGGCAAAATATTGAATGAGGCAGAAAACATCAAAAAAGATGGAAGGTATATACAGAGTAATGGTACCAAAAAGAAATGGTCAATGTTCAATCATTTCAAGAGGTAGCATATGATCAAGAGCCAATGATATAGAAGGAAGAAGTCTATGATGCACTGAAGGCATTGGCAAAGAACAAGGCACTGGGAATTGATGGAATACAAATTTAAGTCTTTCAATAAACTGATGTAGCACTAGAGGCACTCACTCATCTATGCCAAGAAATTTGGAAGACAACTACCTGGCCAAATGACTGGAAGAGATCCATATTTTTACCCATTCCAAGACGTGACCCAATGGAATGCAAAAATCATTGGAAATATCATTAATATTGCATACAAGTAAAATTTTGCTAAAGACAATACAAAACTGACTGCAACCATACATTGACAGAGAACTTTTAAAGGTTCAAGCCAGATTCAGAAGAGGACAGGAAATGAGAGATTATCATTGCTGATGCCAGATGAAAAGGTATATGCTAGGGTTGTATTCTTTCACCATACTTAAACAACCTGTACGCTGAGCAAATAATTTGAGAAGATAGATTACATGAAGAAAAATGTGGCATCAGAATTGGAGGAAGACTCATTAACAACCTGTGATATGCAGATGGTACAACCTTGCTTGCTGAAAGTGAAGAGGACTTAAAATGCTTAATTATAAAGATCAAAGACCATATTCTTCGGTCTGGACTGCATCTCAATGTAAAGAAAACAAAAATCTTCACCACTGGACTAATAAACAACATCCATGTAAACGGAGAAAAGATTGAAGTTGTCAGAAACTTCATTTTGCTCTGATCAAACATCAAAACTCATAGAAGCAGCAGTCAAATCAAATGACATATTGCACTGGACAAATCTGCTGTACAAGACCTCTTTATAGTGTTGAACAGCAAAGATGTAAGTCTGAAGGCTAAGGTATCCCTGATCCAAGCCATGGTATTTTCAGTCACCTCATATGCATGTGAAAATTGGACTGTGAATAAAGAAGACCTTAGAAGAACTGATGCACTTGAGCTATGATGTTGGAGGAAAATATTTAAAAGTACCATGGAGTGTCAAAAGAACAAACCAATCTATGTTGGAAGATGTACAGCCAGAGTGCTCCTTGGAAGCCAGGATGGCCAGACTTTGTCTCTCATACTTCAGACATTATTCTCAGGAGGAACCAGTCCCCGGAGAAGGATATCATGTTTGGTAAAGAGGAGGGTTGGAGAAAAAAGAGGTAGACTCCCAACTAGATAGAATGGCACAATGGCAGGAGCAATGGGTTCAAGCATAGCAAAGACTGTGAGGTAGTGCAGGACTGGGCAATGCTTCATTCTGTTGTGCACAGAGTCACTACCAACTCAATAGTACCTAACAAAAAGTATTCATTACCTTCTTACTTGTTTTAGCAAATGAATTTCATTTACTAAATTACTGAGCAATAAACTCTAAGCGTCAAAACAACTACAAGTCACTAAGCTAAAGACTGTTAACAAACATTGTTGTTGTTGTTAAGTGCCATCGAGTTGGTTCCAACCCATAGCAACCCTGTACAGGGTTTCCCAGGGTATAAATCTTTACGGGAGTAGAAAGCCTCATCTTTCTCCCGCGGAGCGACTGGTAGTTTCGAACCACTGACCTTAAAGTTCGCAGCCCAATTCGTAACCACTACGCTACCAGAGATATTTGCATTTGTGTTTGTGGTTGTTGTGTTGTCAGGTGCCATCGAATTGGACCCGACTCATAGCAACCCCATGGCACAGCAGAACGAAACAATGTCCGATCCTGGGCCAACCTCACTACTGCTGTCACACTCAAGTCCATCAATGATGCCACCTGGCCAATCCATCTCGTTAGGGGATCTTCTTCTCTTTCTCTGACCCTCCACCTTACCCAGCATGACATCCTTCTCCAGTGACTGTTCCCTCCTGACAATATGTCCAAAGTATGAGCGACGAAGATTAGCCATCTTGGCCTCCAAGGAGCACTCTGGCTGCACTTCTTCCAAAACAGATCTGTTGGTTCTTTTGGCAGCCCATGGCACTTTCAGTATTCTCCTCCAACACCACAATTCAAAGGCATCAATTCTTCTACGATCTTCCTTAT